CTATACTTAGGTCTAAATAAAATACTTGCAGGAGAGGGAATGGTGACTGTGGCTTTCTGGGACAGCCACCCTGAAAATGGCTCTGTATCATTCTTTTCCTCATGAGCAGTACCCAAGGTCTTGAGTCTTCAGCCTGCCAGCTTCACTCAGGAGGGACATGGAGCAGGGAGCTCTGGTAGCTCAGGTGGGAATTTGTGAGAGGAGGTAGAGCCCCAGGCAAAAACACACTGTCCCGCGGAATGCGTCTCCACTGCTGGAGGCAAGGAGTTGCTGCTGGCTTCCATTTGCAGTGTGGTAGCTCTCACCTTGAGCTGTGTGCACCTGCACAAGAAAAAGTTTGATTCTGGCTTCACGAAGCTTAAACTTAAAAAAGATCGCTATAGTTGTTATTGTTCATACCGCAACGGGTGTCCAACCCCAAATACCTTGATCCATATGAAAGGGGCAAGGGAAGCTTTTCTGCTAGCAGCTGATCTTTTAGCCTTTAACAAATGCATCGGGGGGAAGGCAGTGTAAGGCAGGTGAGGAGGAATGAAATGCAATGTCTCCTGGGAAAAAACATGGCCTCTTGCACTTTTCTGCACAGTTTTCAAGGTAGTCTCAGGCTTCAGGATTAAGTAAATCCATTTTCTGCTCTTAAAGAATTGCTCTTCTGCAGCCCCAGAATTTTCCTGCAGGCATATCCTAGACTTATTTCAAGATACCTGCCTGCAGGTATACTCTACTTATACCTTATAATTTATTTGCAAATATTTGAATGCTCTAAGATATTTGTTTCTGGCTTGATCTACATGTGCATGTTCACATCACCTCTCTTTTTACCTTTTTTTTTTCTCTTGGCAGGTTAGAGATATTTGCTGCTAGCTTATCATTTTGTGTGTTAATAATACACTTTCCTGATACACTTTGTATTAGAAAACTCCTCGAAGTGCCCTGCAGTTACTGTATTTGCCAGGGACATACCTTGCAGTGACACCTGCACAGCTTTTGTTTTCTCTTTTTCTTTACAGTTGCTTTCCCTTTCTGTCTGTTTTGGATCTGCATGTGAAACATGAAGCTATGAATCTTTCTACAGTTTTCTGTCTTGAAACAAATGTGGATTCCATTTGTCCAGGGAAGTGGAGGGAGTCCCAGCCTGTGCTCGTTCTTCTCTGCCTTTTGACCCTTCACATTAATCCCCTGCTGAGGGCGGTGAACTCGGAGAGAGGAGAGGAGCGCACAGTGCCCGCACCGCTCTCTAGTCTGCGCATCCCCCAGCCTGGTGCTGCTGCTGGCGACTGGCGGGGATTTAATTAAAGATACAGAGGTGTCATAGGGTTTTTTTTATGAAGTGATGTATTTCTATCGCAGAAATCTTGTTTGCTAATGGAAATTATTTGTTTAAAAAAAAAATAGCCGTGAACAACAAAAATGTTACTGGCTATATAGAAAAAATGCCTTTCCAGCACACAGAAGATCCTGACCATGAAGGCATTGAGTTACACAGATGCAATGTCTTGCCCATTTGTCCGGTACCCTGTCTCCAAGTGTGGCCACTGCTACGTGCTTCAGAGAATTCATCAGGATTCCCAAAGGGGGGATTAGGAGAATAACCTGCTGGTACAGGGGTTTCTGCCTAGGATTCCCAAAGGGGGGATTAGGAGAAAAGCTCTCCTATCTCAGGGAATGGCTGACTCTTTGAGGCTTTACCTCTCTTCAACCTGTTAAAGGCTTTACTCTCTTCTGCTAACCTGATGCTTGTTGTGTTGATTCATATGCATATCCAGTTTATTAATTTCGCATTCTACAAAAGGCTTGGCTATACCAATACTTTGGAACAGTTAAGTTTCATGAATTGTTTGTTGGTGTTTTTTGATAAAGATAGCATTTCCTTTCCTCCATTTAAGCATGCTGCTCTTTTAATTGCACTGATGGAATGATGGCTGTTTCTGTGTTTATCTCTACCCCATTATTTTTGCATATTCATGTTTTGCTTGTTAGTTGAGACCGCTCTAGACTAGGAGAAGATCTCTTCATAATGATGGCTCTTATTTAAGTTGATGTCGTTAATTTAAACCCTAAAAATACAGGAGCGTGTTTTGGATCATTCTTTCTGTTGTTCATTACCATACATTTGTGAAGTGTGTATTTCATCTGCTGTCACATTTTCTCCTTACTGATTGGGGTGTTGGTCTCAAAAGCTCTTCCAGCCACCTCTGATACAGACTCAGCTAAGTAATGCACTTCCCATCAGCTCCCGCACCTCGCTGGTCACCTCGTTGGCAGCATCTGTTTGGCTTTGATAGGAGATCCAGGTTTTAATCCTTTTTATTAAGATTACTGTTTGCTCACCTAAATATTTTGTGATTATTAGCTGTGCAGTTAAAACCTCTGCACCTGTACTGAGGGCCAGCTGCGTACGTCCTGTTTCAGGGAAGGAAGAGAAGCTGGAATATTTTGATCTTGTTAATTAGTATGTTTCACACCGATTTTTAGCTCAGTTTGTTGTAAAAGACAGCAAGGAACCCTTTGCTTTGACTCTCTCTGAAACATAAATAACTTTTACGAGGGAGGTGTTTCCATTTTTGTGGTTTCCCTCTTCATAAGGGTAGTATTTTATTCCGGGCACCATTTTGCTGGTGGCTGAGTGATGATACGTTTTTACTGTCGCGTGGACAGATGGAGAAGGGAAAGGAGAAGAAATGGCTGAGTCTTTAATTAGTCGTGCAGAGCCAGAGCATGCTTTTCCAGTGCGTCAGGGGTTTTATATAGGGTGTGGAGACTCAGCTGCTCGATGGATCCAAATTAGCAAAATTGTGTATCCACCGCCAGGGTGTTTCTATGGCAACTGTCTCTCAAATCATATATACAAACAGACCTGGTGGGGGGTATCGCCTTTTATTTGGTCTATAGGAAACCATTGGAAAAGAGGTGGTTTCAGGCTGAAAAAAACCTTCGTGATGTAAATATTTTTTACTTTCTGGTGCCTGGTAGAAGTTTTGGGACCACTGCTCGATGCTGGCACAATTCCGAATCTGTTTGTGGTTTTGCACAGTGGCTGGCTGCTGTTACTCCTGCTAGGTGTGAGAGTGGTCACCAGGAAACTTGCACAAGGTTGCAAATGCACAGTTACCAGGCGCATCCTTTAGCTCATAAACATCTTGCCGCTGCACCTATCTATAGCCATGGAGGTAGACCGTATACTATGTGGCTTTTGTGCTGAGCGAACCAAATTATACATTCATTTCTTTTCCCCTCATTCTTCTTCATAAAACAGCAGAAGTTTGGAGGCTCTTCTCTCACTGTTGTACCTGGTGAATTAAGGGAAATCATCAACCTGATCAAATTAGCAGTGTAAGAACAGCCAAAGTGGCTGTGACTCTCAGCCTAAGTGACTCTATCTTTATAAATTCTCTCTACGTGTCACTTTTTCTGGTGGGAAAAAATGAATGAATGATCCATTTAGCCTACTGCCCTCTTTGTTAAATGTAGGGCAATTATTGTTATTTTTTGCTCGTCCAAAGTCAGGTACTGCTAAAGCATTTCACATCAGAGGTGGTTATTTCTTGTGTCCGTCAGTTCCATGAGGACTCCTTTCTTTTTTGAGTCAGATAAAGGGGAGTTAGCAAGAGGCCTGTGCTAAACAATTTTTTTCAGTTACGAGTATCTTGGATGTTCAGTGAGTGGCAAGGTGCATAATGGTATTTGTCTAGAATAATTCCTAAGCTTGCCTAGTAACTCCAAGGGATAGTGCCTCTCTTTGCATTGGACTTGACTTATGTAATGGGTCCACAAGAAATTGTACACAGAAATGCTATGTAAAGGTAGATTGGACCTGAGTGCACAACCTTTCCCATTGTAGAAGCTTTTACACCTCTTCAATGAAAATGATGTATTGTACATAAATTGAAGGACTGACAGAAATGTACTCTAACCTGTAGAATGTGAAAAACATGTTAATTTTTGTTTGTTTTCTCTTTTTATAATCAGGCATTTGCCGAAAGCCTGATGTGATTTATTCTTTTCTTTTTAATGAATTGTTAAAATGTTTGAAAAGGCATTAAATCTTCCTTTCTGCTATTAATCTGTAAAAGGGGAAGGGGATTTTAAATGGCCTCTTTAGTATATTGCTTTATAAAACTGCTGATTCTAGCAGCACCGGAATAGGAATACATACTAATGTAGGAAACACTGAAGGCAGGCAGAGCCTCCTGCATTTATGGAGGAAAAGACTAATAGCTCCATTTTAACAAGGCTCTTAACACTTTGGGCCATCAGCAGGCATTGAGTGAGTGAAATTGGGAGAGCTCCTGTGTGCTAAAAGCATTGAAGTTCACCGTTTCGTACCCCACTTGGAGCCTTCCTGATAGAATTGTGCTCTCCAGCCAACGCTGGTTGCCATCTTGAAAACAAACCAAGTAGCGAGCTGGCATTTTGACTGAGTGCACTAATGCTTCACTTCTGAAATGGCACCAGAGCATGACAAATGCACTTAACTCCCAGCTGGATACTTAGCTTTGCAGTGGCGTTAGGGAAAGTTTCTGGATTTGTGTTAAGAACGAAAGCAAAGCCTGTTTATATCACATTTTGTACTTGAGCAAAACACACAAGTGGAGGAAAAACAGCAAACTTGGTACTAAGATGCTAGCTTTGATTCAAGTAGTTATGCCACTGGTATCAAAAGGGGAGTGCTTACTTAATTAGATTACGTCCTCATGTTACTGAATTCTAGGAGGATGGCCAGCCAGGGAAGGAGAGAGAGAGTATCCTGGCTAGCACGCAGATGAGGAAAAGGCTCTGAAGATTGTACCCATTCTAAACAGTTCTTTGATACGGAAGCCTTTCTTGTTAAAGTGATAAGATTATGTATGGGATTTGGAGCTTCTTTGAGCCCCTGCCTTTCTTTTGTTGATTTTGGCATGTTGCAGCATCATGTGCTCTCTGCTTATCGTTCTGAGATGCATTGTTAGTAGCTGGGCTGCATAATTGATCTTCATCTCTAATTACTCTCCTCTCCACAGGTGCCTGGAAAAGGTCCAGATGGGAGCTCATACAATCTCCACTTCGAGGGGATGGAAAGGCAGTATGCATCCTTACCCAGGTATGGCACCAAGCCTCATACACACACGCTGATTCACCCTCCATCAGATGGGGAGGGAATTCAGCCCACAGCTCATGTCCGGCTCCAACATGAGAGATTATTTTGCAATTTTCTCTTGTCACCTTTTGCTGCTGATCTAGGGCCATCTTTATAACCGTACTATTAATTTGGACTTTTGAATTTCAAAAAAAAGCGCTCTCATTGAACATGTCAGCAGGAGTCATGATCTACAGGTAGAGAACATGACATTGAGGAAGCTGGCTCTGTAAGAGTTATAACAGGTCGTAGCAGGGCAATAATGACAAAGTTTATAGTGATATAATCCTAGCTGGCATTGATAGAGTGCTACTGTGGAAAGCCTCGACTACAGCAGCCACAGCTACTGAAGTCCCGCTGCTGCTGCAAAGACTGTCTGACTAGCAGTCCTATTCCAGTAGAGCATCTCTGTGTTTCAATTGAACACTGTGGAAATGAGAGTGAATTCTCTGAGGGCTTTTTTTAATTTTTAATCCTTATCAACTCAATGAAGAGTAATTCTAGTCTGAAACCAGTGGGGCATAACAAAAAGGAAGCGTTTTAGAGATTTCAGTCCCATTTCTGTGGGAGTTCTAATCGCGGAGTGTAAGATTTAGCAAGCCAGAAAGGCGAGTGAGATGATGCTAGAAGAGATAGTGGGAAGCAATGGGAGGAAAACAAAAATAGAAAATATTTCCCCTTTAGAATCAGAGGGCTGGGAAACACCATAGAGGGGTTGCCCAGTCCACTTCCTGGACCTACAAGCACGATCATTTGTAAAAGCAAAGCAAAAATAGCTATTTACAAGCCAGAAGAGATTCTTCATTGTGAAGTAGTGCTGGCATTTAGGAAATCAGTGAATAGTTTCTTTTTGCTTCTCTTTCTTTTTCCACTGAGCTATTTTCAGTCAAAGGTGTCACTGGAGAGACTGATTGATAAATATGTAATGCTGCATCCAATTCCAGATGAAAATATGAAGTATATCTTGCTTTGGAAACCAATATATAAAGGCTGTCTCACAAGACATTGTTGAATGTTTGTAGGCATTTTTAATGTACATGGTTTCTAAACCAAAGGATATGTCTGTAGTATAGTTACTGCTTTCAAACGATATTTGTGTCAGCCCTCATTTTGGAAATTCGTCCTGTGCGGCAACTGGCTTTTCTAACAGAATACTGCTTTCCAGCAGTGTGTCCTGTATGTATTTCCAGATCAGTGTGGATATTCTTACTCTCCTGGGTAAAGAGCCATCTTTTTTCATAGTCTTCCAACACTCATGTCTCCTGTCATGTTTTTAGCAGTGGTTTTTGCAGGTTAGTTAGGTGTAGTTTAGTTATACACGCTCTTTTTTATCTATTTTAAACTTCAATTTTGTTGAGTACTTTCTTGTGAATTAGAAGAATAAATTAGCAACTAGTGCCCAGTATAACTCTCTACAGCAATTTTCACATTCCTGTATCATGTCTCCTTTTATTCGTTTTCCCTTTAAGCTAATCAACCTTATTTTTTCAATTTTTATAAAATGGAAGTTTCCAGTGAAGTAACTTCCATCACCCTGAATTATTTTTATTTCACCGGTATTCCTTTTGAGTGAGGATGGCCAGAACTGAGCACAACACTGCAGATGCAGGAGTGCCCTTGCTTTATGCAGCAGTGTTCTGTGTATTCCTTCTATTCCGTTCCTTTTCAAGGTCGCTGCATCCTCAGCATGTCCCCGAGGTGTGTGTACTGCCCACCTCTGCACCCTGCAGTTTTGTGGGTTGTTTGTTTGGTTTTTTTATAAAGTAGGTCTGTCTGAATCAGATCATGAATCTCACCGTGTTCTTCCCAAAACCTCCATTTAACTTGCTGGAAACTTGACTCTATAGCTCTTAGGACAGGTTTGAGTATTTAGCTGGCTGGAACTCACCATTTAGGAAGTCATCCAAACGTTCAATAAGCTTTTGGAGATCGGTGTGAAGAGTGTCATTTCTCTCAGTGCCTAAGAAGATTATGCTGGAGAGTGAGAGGGCCTGCACTTCAGAGGGGTTTTGTGCTTCCTGACGCGAACGCTCGCACTGCCGCACACCAGCCATGCCATTGCCACATCTCCAGAGGGTTTCCACCCTGGCAGGAGCAGAGCTTTCGGACAGCACGCCCTTGGGTGGGCCCGCAGTCCAGCATTCAGCTGCTGCCTTATATACTTTGGTTTTGTAAGTTTTGCAGTTTCATGTAACTGCAGTAATTAAGCCCTGGCAGTCATAAATGACTGGATTGCTACAGTGAGGTTTAAATCCAGAAGAAGGGGATGCAGTGTCAATTGCCAGCCACTAATGGAAATGAGCGATTTCTTTTGTTCTCATGGCTGACTGCCCAGGAGTATAGACGAATCCAGGTAAAAACAACCCATTTGCCAACCTATTCTCAGTGGAGGATCCATGAATACTACTGTAATGGGCAGCTTTATTAAAAAAAAAATAAGAGAAAGAAATAGGCAGGTAGAAAGAAATACAGAGGTAGTATTTTCTCAAAGAGCAGCTTTCTTCTCCCCAGCATGCTAGTACTAGTTCATGGTTTCCTGCCCTTGTCTTGTCTATGTCCTCACCTTGGTCAAACCGCTGAGCTGCATTTGGTATGGACATAGCATATAATCATCTGCATGCTTAGTAGTTTAAGTCTAAGCTTAAGCAATTTAATAAGAGATACTTAGAGGCTTCTGATGAGGGTTGTAGATGCTGGGAAACAGATTCTTACTGCAATATTGCGTGGAGTCCAGGAGGATATGACCTTTGCCTGCTGCTCTGGCGTGGCACAACACAAAGAAAGAGGAAAGCGCTTGGACTGCAGCCAGTTTCACTGGATGAGGGGGGAGGAGGGGATGTGTGCCATGTCAAGAGTAGCTGGGACCTACACAGAGAAACTGTTCTGCTTACCTGGAAGCCAGCAGGAGTCATGCCAGAGTGTGTGGGCATGGACAAATTGAGTAAGAGAGCTTTGGTTTTCCTCCCCACTGAGCAAGAAGGAGGAATGATCGCCTGCCAAGTAACTTTATGAATGTCTGGTGTCCCTAAGGCACTACCCATTGCCATGCAAAGGCACACATCCTGCTTGCAGAGGAAGTCAGACTGCCAGCGGCATCCAAACATGGCTGCTGGGTTGTAAAAATCTAAGCTTTGAAACATCTTGCTGCTTTTGCCCTTTTGTTTTGTATTTTTCTGTCTTTCTCGGAAGCTGCTAATTTAAGCCTATATATTATGGGCCAAATTCAGGTGATACAACTCTGTATTAACTATTTGAGGAATTCAGCTGTGTCAAGTGTGCTTGCCTTTTCAGTAGATGAAGCAGCAAATCCAGTGTCCCACTCTGACTGAGCTCAGGGGTGCCCATTTTGCCATTGAGTGGAGGATCTGTTCCTGTGTAAGGTTATCAATTTTAATTAAAAGCTGAAAACAGGAGGCAGCAGCCTTTGGAGGAAGGCTTTGTATGTGACTGGCTTAATGAGTGGCCAGCTGAGTTACATAGTTAAGATTCTAGGTAAAATAATGCCAGTCTGTAGACTCGGTTTGGAAATGTCTACAGAGGCAAACATCTGAATTAGATGATAAGTGGCTGTGGCAGGAGAGTGGCAGGTCTTCATCTCACACTGCATTGTGCTGCTCTGTCTGCGGAAAAGCAGCAAAGTGGGAAAGACAGAATGGAAGGTTTTGCAAGAGCATACAGTTCTTTGCACTCAGTATTTACGTGTTGCCCTGGGGCTACAGCTAAGTAGTGCTGAGTAGTAGTATTAAGCAATGTTAAATCCTCCTGCTTAGGAGGAGAATGGTTTGATTCTTATACCTTTTAGCCTCATCTTTTGGGAAGAGGAGCAGGGTAAGGGTGTGGGAGCCAGAAAAAACGTTTGTATTTTTTAAGCTATTTTTAATGCCTGTTTTCTTGGTTCGTGTAGTCCAGAATATTTTCCTGATGGAGCTATGGAACAGATATGAAGCTGAAGCTGCTCTATTTGTTCATAGTTTTATTTTTGAGCTTGTTTTTATGGAAGTCTGTCTTAATGTAAATCACAGTCTTGCCAATGGCAGCCTTGTTTGGAGAAATCTCGTGTTCGAGGACACGTTCTTTTCTCTGTTGATGGAACAGCTGGCTGTGACCAAAAGCAGGCTGTCAGACACTGAGATGGGACACTGGTGACATGATGAGTGTAGATCAGAAAGCTCAGCCATCTTCCTGGTAAAAAATGCCGATTCCAAAGGAAAGCTAATACTCCAGACTTTCCCCAGAATCCTCATATGATTGAAAAACAGGCATTTTTGTCAAGAAAAGGGGTGGGGCTGAAAAGGCAGTAAGAGCATTAGAAAATAACTGCTAGCATGGAAGAATTACTTCAGGCTCTGTAGATGAGTTCAGCTGTATTGCTGTGGCTGGGAGGAGACAACCGAGTAAACTGGTAACTGGCTTACAGGAATATCTGAGCATGCATCTTAAAACTGGGAAACTTGCAAATGTATTATGGAACTAACCTTGCAATACAGTGGCGGCACTCAGTCTTGCCATGCTGGAAGCTTCTCTGCAGATTGCCCATGCAACTTGTGCTTCTTAAAGCAGTAGCTAAAAGCAGCACATCCTCCGTTTCTAGCTATGAAGCCAGAAAGGACAATTTTGATCACCTTGTCTGAGCCCTCAAAGACCTTCTACGTTTCTGCATCAAACTAAATTTCAATTTTGAGCCATTGCATTATTTTTATAAACGTATTTCCAAAAGCATCTAACCTGGAATTAAAATGCCACGTTGTCGAGATTTCATTACATTCTTCAGAGCTTAGTTATTTTACTGTTTAAAAAGATTATGCCTTTTATTTCCTAAGTCTGAAATTAGCCAATTTCAGTTTCTAGATGCTGTGGTAAAATTTTTTTCTGCTAGATTTTATGAGCCAAGCCTGCAAAATGCCTCCCCTTCAGTATTTCTGTCCCATGATCATTTGTGTTATCTGTTAACCTCCCTTTCAATA